CGCACCAGGATGCAGCCCCCTTTTGGGGCTTCTTCTTAATCTCTAAAATGAAAACTAAACTTAAATTGCATGCAAATACTTAAGTTGGAATTCAGTCCAAAATACTGAAGTATAAAAGATACAATAAAATAAAATTAAGTGTATTTTAATTATATTCTATAAATGCTAGAGTTTATAGACAAAAAAGGCACAATCAAAAAGCAAAGAATACATTTCTTAAAATATAAAAGTTCTTAAAAGAGTATATAAAGTAAAAAGCATTTCTTAGCCTTTAAGTATATCATAATAACACACAAAGAAAACTACTCTAAGTGTTCACCCAGCCAAACCAGTTTGAATCTATAGAGGAAAATCCATGTTGTCCTCGTCTGCTGCTGTTGTTGTTACTGCTGCAACATGATACTGATCCCTGGTATCCGTGTTGTTGCTATCTGGTGTGTGTGGTATGGCATGTATCATTATGTTGCCATCTAATGTGTTTCCTGCCTCTCTATATTTATATTTTTCTCAAGTGTTTTTATTTTTCTCTTCATACTTTAACTGTTCACTTTTTCCAGGGCCAGTAAGTTCCAGAGGCCTGAATGCACAGTCAGAAATTTTATAATGGAAATTTATATTGCTTTTGCACTTCCTGTAAATCAGAATCTGGCAAACTGCAACCATGATAATAAGCTTTATTATTTTAACTAACCGTTAAGAGTCTATAGATTTCAATTGGATGAAACCATGGGGGTCTAATACAATAGAGCAAATCACAGGATCTGAAACACTCTATATATCAAAGATTTCAATACACTTTCAATTCTATCCCACAGCTTGACTGTCAGTCATGTAAGAAATTCCTTTGTAAGGCAATGTTATTCTATACTGATCTTGCTTCCAGACTTGGCTAGAACTGGCTGATTTATCTGTGAAGATTTCTCAGTCATCTAGATGAGGTTATCTGGAAGCTGAGTCATGGCAACTGGACTTCTTTCTTATTAGGTTGAAATATTTCACAGAAGAAGCACCTTGGATGAGTAATGAAATGTTTCAGCCTAACTGGCTGATTGTTTTGCAGTAACTTCGAGTATCAGAGACTGCAATTTTATTTACATTTCCCTGACGGTTAAGTTTTGTTGACTTCTGAGCAGGCATGTATAGAGTTATGCATGCATAAATACCTGTGTGTATACAGCTATATATGCATTCATTCATATACACATTATATCAGTCTCAATCACACAGTAAGTTTGCTTCTTTTTCGGTTGCACTGGTGCGGTTTCCATTCATTTCCCTGCCTTCACCCGATAGTCATTCTCCCAAACCACCACTCTTAACTTTGACTACAAGGGTTTGCTTTGGAATAATGAAATGGCTTGTACTGCTCATATTCAGAGGAGAACACAGCTGAGCTCACCTGCACTTTCCCACTGGTATAATCTGTCTCATCAACTTTATGTATGTTGCTCTCTCATTTGAAAATATTTTTATTTATTTATTTATTTATTGGATTTTTCCAGCCAAACCAGTTTGAATCTATAGAGGAAAATCCATGTTGTCCTCGTCTGCTGCTGTTGTTGTTACTGCTGCAACATGATACTGCTCCCTGGTATCCGTGTTGTTGCTATCTAAAAAAAGGATCCAAGGCAACTTACATCATTAAAAACACTATATTAAAGGCTAAAAACAGTAAATTATTCAAATATTAAAGAATTAGTAACATTATATTAATTTTTTTTAGGTAAAAGCTTTACAAAAACAGATGGAGAAGCAAGATAGAAACCATCCTATTTACTGTCTCTCAGATCAGTTACTAAGGGAGAGCCTGCCTGAAGAGAAAGGTCTTCACCTGCTTGTAGAAGGACAGCAAGGATGGGACCAGACTGGCCTCCTGTGGGAGTTGCAGAATCTGGGAGCAGCGCCCGAGAGAGCCCTCCCCTGTGTCCCCACCAAGTGCACCTGTGAGGGTGGTGGGGCCAGAAAGACTTCCCCTGATTATCTTAACACCCAGGAAGGGTCATACAGGGAGATACAGCTTTTAACATGGAATCCCAGCTGTTTGACTGCCCATCTCATTCCTTCAACACATAGCCAATGCATGGAGCCTACTGACTGGTACAGAATATCTTTTGTTTTCTCCCTCCTGTGACTCTTTGTTAAGCCGACAAAAGACCTACTTTATTCGCTTCACTCATCATTGAATCTTACAGTTTAATCTTCCCCACATCTTACAGATCCTCTTTATTAACAGCAGCATGACTCAAAATACTTTTGGTTACACAACTGCAGAGTCAGCATCCTGAATTATGTCATGGGGCATTCAGCCATGCAACTTGGAAGCCCACATTTTCACACTGCATGGTTGGTACTGCAGGTAGAAACAGATGTGTAGGTTCCTGGATTGTGCCAAATCATGCTGTAACTTGTCTTGCATATACAGTATAATATATATGCACTTAGTCACTTTTGCTCTTGCAGCAGAAATGCAGAATAGGTTCAGGTGCATGCCTGCTAAGACGGGGAACGAGAAATGAAATTCGCTCTGGGATTGCAGTTCAAAGTTTTCCACTTTCAGGAGCATGACTTGTTTTTGTTGTCCAGGTTGTTTTTTATGATTTCACCCCTATGCTTCAAAACAAGTACTGCAGCATCTGACGTTTTGATGTTACCAATCAGTGGCACTTGTGGCAGAGTTTTATAGTCTAAATCCGCAATTTTCAAACCATTTAGTCTCAGCACTGCCCACTGGGGCTAGACCCAGAATAAAGCAGTCTAAATAACTGGAGATACCACATTTTATGTTTCCTGTCAGATGACCTGTGGAAACATTGGTCACTCTGATTCTGTAGTCTGCATCTAAAACTGTAAGGCCGCTTCATCCATCTTCACTGCCACACTTTAGGTTTTTCTTACCTATTACATTTATACAAGGGGGTGCTGACAAGTATTGAGCCTTACCGAAAAAATTAAGCAAGGAAGCGATAAATTGCAGGGTGTATTGGCCAATTTGTCTGTATTCAATGGTGCAAAAACCAACTACTTATGATTTTAACTTATCTTTCATGTTGAGGTACAAAGTGAACATGGCAGCACCTCCAGAAAAGTTCAATGTGGAAGAGCATCGGACCATAATCAATTTCCTGTTTCTCCAAGGGAAAGGTGCAAAGCAGATCCATGATGAAATGTCACAAACTATGGGTGACAGTGGCCCTTCATATGCAACAGTTAATCGTTGGGTTGTCATTTTAAAAACTGGCCATTTCTGTGCTGAAAGTGAGAAACCCAGTGGAAGGCCTGTTTCTGTCTCTGTGCCTGCAAATGTGAAAGCCATCCATGACATAATCGTGGAGGACCGCCAAATATCAGCCAGAAGTATTGCTATATATCTGAGAATATCATGTGAGAGAGTTGGTTTCATTATCCACAATGACTTGGAAATCAGAAAGCTGGCAGCAAAGTGGATCCCCAAACTTTTGACAACCGAACAAAAGAGGAAACATGTGGAGTCATCGGTGGCTGTTTTGGAACATTTTGCAAGAAATGAGTCAGATTTTTTGGGCAAACTGATAACTGGTGATGAGACATGGATCTACTGTTTTGATCCTGAGACAAAGGAACAGTCTAAGGAATGGAGGCACAGTGGTTGCCCCAGGCCAAAGAAGTTCCGAGTGCAAAGGTCGGTGCAGAAGCAAATGGCAACAGGTTTTTGGGATAAGAAGGGAGTTCTGCCGGTGGACTACCTCCCACAGGGTTCAACAATCAATGTAAAATATTACTGTGCTTTATTGACAAAGTTGAGGCAAAACATCAAGGAAAAACATCGGGAAAGCTCTCCAAAAATGTCATCCTGTAGCATGATAACACCTCGTCACACACCGCAGGTGAAACAATGAAAAAACTGACCTCCTTAGGCTTTCAAGTGATGCCCTATCCACCCTATTCTCCTGACCTGGCTCATTCTATTATCTTTTCCCCAAACTAAAAAAAAACACCTAAAGGGACAACGATTTGGGAGTGTTCTGGAGGCAACTAATTCTTCAAATGAGTGGTTACACCAGCAGTCGGAAGAATCTTTATTTGCAGGGACTTAAGAAGCTGCAGGACAGATGTCGCAAGGAAAGTGTGAAGGCAAAAGAAAGGGACGACAGAGGATGAGATGGTTGGCCAGTGTCACTGAAGCAACCAACATGAGTTTGGCCAGACTCTGGGAGGCAGTGGAAGACAGGAGGGCCTGGCGTGCTCTGGTCCATGGGGTCACCAAGAGTTGGATACGACTAAACAACAAGAAGGCTCAGTACTTGTCAGCACCCCTTCGTATCCTGCTTTCTTCTATCCACAACTCCAAATCAGGGTAAGGGACTTTTTACTTCATTTTATCCTCTCAGAAACTTTGTGAGGTAGACCTGCCTGTGAGCCTGGTCCAAGGTCACCCCAGCGAGCGTCACAGCTCTGCAGGGACTAGAAACAACGTTAAACAGAACAAGTCTCATCCCAGTAAATCGCTCTAACCACTGCACTACTACTTCTTCTTCATCACTTCTCTACTACTTCTTCATCGCTTCAACTCTCATTCCAGAACACTGTGTGTGCTTGCCTGCCCTCAAGTCGGAACCCACTTATAGCGACCCTAGTAAGCCTTTTAAGGTAAGCGAGATATTTTAAGGAGCCGGAACCCACTTATAGCGACCCTAGTAAGACTTTTAAGGTAAGCGAGATATTTTAAGGAGTGGTTTTACCAGTTTCGCTCCCCTAGATTCCCTGGCAGAGCGGGGGATTCGAACCCTGATCGGTTACCGGGGAATTACAGGGGAATACAGAACACTACAGCTCTTAAAAAATAACAACCATGTCTGGATCTTCGGACTTGCTGCAAAATCAACAAGAAGTTAAAAAAAAAAAAACACACCCGCTCGAGAGACACATGCACGATTGCTTTTACTAAATCGTAAGCGCAGTTAATGATTGAAAGGCAGCCCAACACCTTTTCCCTCCTTCCCTCCCTCCCCGCCCAGCCTTGCTTTCGCTCGCTGCTCGTTGCAACCGCACCGGATCCTAACAGTCTCGGCGGAGACCTGACCCCGCTCCGCAGGCAACGGCTCCGTCCCGCTTTTGCACCTCGCCCCGCGAGACGAAAAGACCCCTGCCTGCCTGCCTTCCCCGAGGGGCGGCTTTACGCCGGCCAGGGCTCGCTTCGAAGAGAGGAAGGAAAGGAGCCGGGCCGGGAGAGAGAGAGAGAAAGAAAAAAACAGCCGGCGCTTCCCTTCTGGTGGAGAGAAGGAGACAAGCGAGCGAGGGGAGAGAAAAGAGCTGGGCGAGGAGGGGCCAAGGGGGGGGGGAGAAAAGGCGGAGCTTCCCGGCCGGGAGGAAGCGCTCGGCACCCCCTGCAGCCCGCTTTTGAACAGAGAATGAAGCCCGAGCCCAGACGCCGGAGAGGAGGCGGGCGCGGGCTGGAGAGGAGCAGCCGAAGCCGCCGAAGCCGCCGCCAGGTGGGCTGCTCGCTTTGCGGGGTGTCCGAAGTGAGGTACGCTTTGTTTCGAACCCGTCCGGAGCAATGAATGGGCTAGGCGGCGGCGGGGGGGGGCCCTGCTCCCGATGCCGCCGCCCTTTTGCTCCGGAGCAGTTCCGGGCTGATCTCCACTCCCCCACCCACCCCCTTGGCTCAGCGGCCGCTAATCTCCCTGCTTGCAGAGGGCGCCCTGCTCAGCCGTGTTCACTCCTCCACTTTGCGGGGGGGGGAGGTGGCTCGGTCGTGAAACAATAGCGGGCTGGTCTCTCCTCCTGGCGCAGAAGGGGGGCTGTCGGAGGGGGAGGGACAGGGACGCGGGTCGGTTTGTCTGGTCGCCCCTAGTTCTGCCCGACCCGCTTCGTCTAGACACCACCCCTCCCTTCTGCCTTTTTCATGCTTGGCATCTCGGCGGCGGGGAGTTCGTAGCACTAACGATGCATTTTTATTTCTTCCTTCATAAGTTTCCATGGGTTTTGTTTTTTTGTTTTTCAGGAAGAAGCAGTTGTGCTTTGCAGACACCAGAAGCCAGGACCCTAAATTGAACAGAAGCAGCTGGCGCGAGTTGTTTCTTTGCCCCATCCTTGTTTTAAAGGAAATAGAGGGCACAGATACATCTTCCCCACATCCCTACCTGGAGGGCATCTACAGTCACGGCCCTGCCTTGCCATTGACCCATGAAAACTTAACAAGCTGGTACAGAATCTGATCGGTGTCTGCAAGGTTTTGATCCCCAGGACTTTTGTACCAACATTTTAAATTTTGAGGAGGGAGCTTGCTGAATTGCCCAGACTGTGCAGTACCAGACATGCATTTTTGCAGTCTGGAGACAATTCTGTTGTTTGAGTCCCAGTAGATGAACAGATTTTCCAGCTCCTTTCCGCTTCCTAGGGCTGATTGAGAAAGGGACAGCGTGCCCCAACTGTGCGGTGGAAGCTGGAGTGGGAGAAATCAAAGTAGATGCTGCTCAACACAAAGTGCCAAGATTTGGAAAGGCAGTCGTGTCTGTTTGGAATAATCATTTAGTATCTGAGGACACTTTCAAGCCTCCCACCAAGCTTTTCCTTCACTACTACTACTGTTATTTTTTTAAAGAAACATTTGGTTCTGTTCCCAATCTCCTTCCCTTTTCAGATTTACTGTACCAAAATATTCTTTCCCGGAAATATAAAACCAGGTGGCAGTTGACAACTGAAGATAAAAGAATAAACAAGAGAAAAACTGAGAAAGAGAGTGATGCCCTTTTATCTTCCCTCTTCTACAAAGATGAGGTGCCTTCTGCTGGAGCTGACATTTCTTCTGCTACTGGGTAAGAACTGCCTGTCTTTGTCAAAAAATCTCTGGCAAGTTCTAACTCACCTCCTCCCTGCTCCTTGCCAGCAGTACTTTCTAATAGAACAAGACTGACTTTTCTTTTCATAATCACTCAGTTTTCTCATTAGTATTGTGTAGTATGCAACAGCACAATGCTTCTGTTAATGCTGAGATGAAACCAAGGAATAAAGGACGACTGCTTGACTTTTTGTTATTAATAGGATTGATTATATTATAGCGCTGCTGCTGCAGGCAGTGTCCTACCAGTCCTTCTGAACAAGGTTGTGAAACTAGGCTGGGGCGTTGGAAGGAACATTCAGGCCCTTTTTTTGTTGTGTCTTAAACAGAGTTGTTATCTGGCTGTGAATCTTCCTTTGAGATATCACAGGCAGACCTGATCAGTCAGCAGTGCTTTCATGCTGTAGGAAATATTTGAATTTTGAAGACAAGCACAATCCCAGGAGGGTAACACAAGATAGAAGATAGCTGAAAAATGTCTTCCTTCTCATATTTATCACAATTGGTTGATACTTTACTTTTTGCATTGTTGTGGCATAAGAGTTAGTGGATTATATATGTGAGGTAGTCTCTAGTGTAGATCCTTACAAATCTATTTTAAAGATGCCACAAGACACTTTTGTGGAATCCTACACATATAGGTTCAAGAGTAAGCTCTGCTGAATGCATTAAAGTTTTCTCCTTGGTAAGTGTGTATTGATTGCAGCCTTAGCTTTTTTTAAAGAAAAAGAGCAAACACAGTTACCCTTTGGGAGTGTTTTTGCAGTGGTAAAGGTAAAGATTTAACTGAATTCTGGCATGGGAAACTGGATGCATGCTCTCTTGATACAGTATTCTGTGCTGTTTGTCATCAAGTGATTTGTACTGTCACTTGTATGTGATTTTAAACAGTTGATGCTCATAATGTAGAAGTGACTATGAATGAAGAAGTTTGTGTGTAATTCTGCAAAATGTATTGGGGGATTTCTGCATGAGAGGTGTAATGTTTTTTGTACATATTTAAGAGGGACTGGATACAAGGCATTGAAATCATCCCAAGTGTCTCTGGTAGGGTTCATATGGTTAGCTTGGCAATTGTATGATTGGCTTGCTGTATAAAATGTGGCTTTAGAAAAATGTTGTGTAAATAATAGGTAGAGTGACTATAGTGGTAATCTCCAAGATAAGCGAAATAAATTGTGCTTTATTAATAAGAGAGATGTCTTCCCACTGGAAATTTATAACTTCAAAACTAAAAAACAAAACAAAAACCTTCTAAATATTTGGAGGAAAATAAGCTTAGTAGCCAGTCTGTTCATCAGAAGAGAGGGTTGGACTTAGTGGCTCACCTGCTCCTAGGTGGTAAATAGCTTTCCATATCTGTCACTGAAGCCACACTATGACATGTGAAGACACACAGGTGGGTAAGCTTGCACAGTGTGTGCCATGAATAGGTAAAGTCAATGCTTATTTTAAATACAGCTTTTAAAATGCACCATTTTCTAAGCAAGAAATCTTAGAAAAGTACTGGCTTTCATTTACAGTACCTTTGATGTATTTTTCAAAAATAAGGTGTTAAAAGAAAGCATCACAATAATGTTCAAGTACCAGACGTCTTTGCTTGGAAGGAAGTCCCAATATATCAGTGGGACTTGCTTGCATGTAAGTCTGCGTGTTATTGCAGCCTAAGGCATAAATCTGTCAAGCAAGTCTATTGTGTTCTAATAACTGACATGGATGAACTGGAATTGCTTATTCAGTAAACAAAACAAGCTTGAGCACTAAATCCTCTTGGCTTAAGGTCAGTATTATTGTGAGTAACGTATTCCTAATATGGTGTGAATGCTTCCCTTGTTCCTCCTCTTAATGGCAGTACTCCAGCAGAACAGTAGAGGGCTCTGTGTCACCAGAGCCAGGATCTTCTGTGGTGATAATAAAGCTAAAGATCTGACAAAGGGTTCTCACAAAAAAATTAAAAATAACCGTTGGTTCCGTTGGCCTGGCTAGATGCCCGCCTTTTAATTATCTTACTGTGTCTCCTTCTGTAAGCACCAAACCCTTCCTCGAATCTTTATTCTTTAATCTTACATTAAGCTGTGTTGTATGAAGCGTTTCCGTATAAATGTCAGATCATCTCCTTGACAAAAAGAATGAATGTATTGGTGATCTGTATGATAGTTTGTCTCCCTCATGGCCGTTTCAGTCTCTATTCCCCCTTCCAAAATTTTGGTAGGGATGCTGAGTTGATGTTCCAAATCATGAGTAGATCTGACAATGCTGTTATGTTTCAAGGCCTCAGGCTACTTGAAAGTTATTCTGAGGTGGAACTTGGTTTGCTTTGCTAGAGAAAGAGAGAAGGAGAGAGAGGGAAAAGAGTGTAATGTGAAGTCAAAAGATTTATCTTGTTCCATAACTTGAATTTTCTGACTGAATGGTTTGGAAAGCCCATTTTGTTAAAGGTGCTAATTATATAGCGTGGAATGTTATGTGAGTGACTTTAGTTCCCATAGTAATTCATGTTTAGTTACCATTTTATAGGCATTTTAGAACTGGAGAAGTGGAATTGGGAATTCTGAAAGTCAGAGAGGATGAAGCTGAATTCTGCTATAACAGAAGGAGAAGTCAGGGAGGAGGGAAAAAGCTGCAGTGGATTGAAAAGCCTCATCTGGCATGTGGGTGTCATACAGAGGGTACCGACTGCTGAGTCTCTTTCCCTTGCACAGCAGAGCTTCAGTTCAGAGGCTTTAAGCAAGTGGCACTTCATCATGCTGAGTATACCGTAGGACAAAATAGGGCAAAGTATTGTAAATAACCCTCTTACAGTAATGAGATTGCTAATGCCTCTGTCAGGTGCTACTAGGCCAATGTATATTTCTAAGATTTACTTGCTTCCCCCAAAGATGCAAAGTCTGTTACTAATATACATGTATTACAATATATAGGAAACCGATATGAATAGGCTTAGGGCAAGTTATGGAACTCATTTCCCCCTTGCTGGTTTATGAATGTATGAATAGTTTCCCTTTTTTATAATAGCTAGCCTCCTAGAAACTGAGCACTGAAGAAGCATAAATTGTATTGTAAACTGGATTTTTATGTAAGTCTTCGTTTTCTCTTTTTTCTTACATAATAATGGTTGTCTTGTTGTCTTTAGGTAGGGGAGGATATAGGTAGGGGAGGATACTGCTTCACTGTCCTCTGCAGCCAGTGTAGTCAAGTGGATCCTGCTGGACTTGGCATGTAGAGACCTGGCTTCAAATGTTACCTTCTGTGAATCTGTCCATCAGTTCTACTGTGGTGGTGGGAGACCATTGGCTTGCAGGTGTTTTACCCTCCAATTTGCATCAGCCTTACCTAGCATGGTAAAGGATTGTGGGACTTTTCATCCTAAGTAACTGGAAGACCACAGTTTCCCTTGACCTATTGTCTCTTTGGACTGCTAGTACCTTGCCGAAGTAGATGAGGTGGTGGAGAGCCCATAGTGGATTTCATGTTTCTTTATGCTTTGGCAAACAATGTGGCAGTTGGGGAGGGATTCAAAGCAGCATCACAACAACCTGTGAGAGACAGTAAAAATGGCCTCCCACCCACCTACAGGCTGAAATCCTGTTCTGTGGCTCCATCTGCACAATGGGAATACTGTCAGTGAAGGTAAATTGCTGCTGATTAAAGGCTTCCTTTGGCAATCTTGGGTTGTTTGTAACTTCATCATATTGTGTATGAGTTGTGTGCACCCCAGAAATCACCAAAGGAAGTTTAATCCAGGGATGTTGGCAAATCTTTGAGTCCGAGTCCCAGTTCTGAGTCTTTGGTACCAGGTCCCGAGTCCCAAGCCCGAGTTCCCTATTGAAAACAAGCTTTTCCACATATAGAAGTGAGGGGCTGGGTGAGTTCGAAGTTGTAAGTTGAGTCAGAATCATTTAAAAAAAGAGACTTGAGTCACCTGTAGGACTTAAGTCTGACTTGACAGCAAGTCCCATGACTCGCATCCCCATCCTTGGTTTAATCAACAGTGATCTGCCTGTTCCTGTTGTCATTCCTGTTGCACATGGAGTTGTGCAACAGGATTCCAGTCCCTGTTTGGTGTTTTCTGTTGTGAGTGGGATATGCATAGTGTACTAGGTGTGCATAGATATGTATGCAGAGAATACTAATTCTAACTAGACTAGGAATTCCCATCATGAAAATTGAATTTACAGAAAGGTTTATACTCCCTCTCCACTGTTGTGATTGTTGTTTGTATGGATTTAAAGAAAAAGTATATGTGGGGAGGGATCATTGTCTTGACTAGCATCCATGAAAACGATTCAAGCTCTGTTACATGAAATACTTTAAGCAGAGATCCTCAACTCCAATTATGTTCACTAGCCCAGAATGAGGAGGAATTAAAGAATCTCTTAATGAGGATGAAAGAGGAGAGTGCAAAAAATGGTCTGAAGCTCAATATCAAAAAAACTAAGATCATGGCCACTGGTCCCATCACCTCCCGGCAAATACAGTGGTGCCCTGCATAGTGACGATAATCCATTCCAAAAAAATCGTCGCTATGTGGATTCGTCACTATGCGGGGCAAAAAATCCCATAGGAACGCATTAAAACATATTTGTTTGCCTATGGGCAAAAAACTCACAGTTATGTAGAAATCCTCCATGCGGCTGCCATTTTCGCTGCCTGGTAAGCGAGGAAAGGGCGCGAAAACACAGCGGGTGGCCATTTTCTTCACCCAGTGGCCATTTTGGAACTGCCGATCAGCTGTTGGAAAAACATCGTTATGCGATAATCGGTAAGCGAAACAGCTTACCGATCATCGCAAAGCGATGTTTTACCATTTAAAACATCATTATGCGATCGCTTTTGCGATCGCAAAAACTAAATTGCTATGCTGATTTGTTGTTAAACGAATCGCTCGTTAAGCGAGGCACCACTGTAGAAGGGGAAGATATGGAGGCAGTGACAGATTTTACTTTCTTGGGCTCTGTGATCACTGCAGATGGTGAC